TAAGTGAGGAGTGGGTATGGTAGTAACAGTGACAACTGCCAGCTGAGAGCTTACTATGCGAACTGCATGTGCTCTCAGTGAATCCGCACAATCCTGTGCGGGAGGTATTAAATCCATTCTACAACTGAGTTGACAAATTAAGACAAAAGAAGAGAAACAACTTGGTTGAGAAGACACAAGGTACAAGCCAACCCAAACCTGTCTCTAATGGCCTTGTGCTTACCACCAAAGCAGAACGAGTAAAGCGTTGCTAAACAAACTGGCCTGTAAATGTGTTTGCTTGGTCTGGGTCAGTCTTTTTTAGTTTCAAGTTGAGCCAATGTTTAGTAATTGATATATTTACCATTTGGGGGGAAAAAAATTCCACATTTCCAGCTTCTCTTGGAAACACAGAAAATATGCCAACATTTACAGACCTTAGATTAGATCCATTATCCACCCAGCAAAAACTGGCTGAGCCAGAGCAGTGGCTGCTCTGTCCCCTCCAAGTCACCAGTCACCGCCACTCCCAGCTGTAGAGATCAGCAAACTTCTCATGTAAAGACCCTGAAAGCAAGTCTTTTCGGCTTTGCTGACCATGCAGTCCATGCAGTCTCTGTCACAACTCCTCAACTTTGCCAATGTAGCAAGAAAGCAGCCATCAACATGTGTGAACTAACGGGCCTATCAACAAAACCGTATCAACAAAAACAGTGAGCTGGATTTGGCCCGTGAACCAGTCTGACCGCTGCCCTACTGCCTGCCTCCCCAACATCCATCACTGTGCTTCCACTCCCTATAGCCAAGAAATACTTCCCTGAACCCATTTCTCTATCAAAAAGCAGGAGAGCGTATGCCTCTGGCTAGCCTCACCAATGGCATGTCCCATCTGAGTGTAAATGTGTGTCTACCCCTACTTGCAGCACCAGCTCCTTCAAGGCAAAGATTATGCTTCAGGAAAAGATTTTTTACACAAGACACAAAACACTGACCATGAACAAACAAACAAATGTTACTATGTTCAAATTAAGGGTGGATGATCAACAAATACCCTTAAAAAAGTGAAAAGACAAGTTACAAGTGAACATACTCCCAAAAGGACAAAAACCCACTCCCATCAAGCCGATTCTGACTCACAGTAACTCCCACAGGGTTTCCAAGGCTGTAAATCTTTACAGAAGCAGACTGCTTCTTTCATCTTTCTCCCACAGAGCAGCTGGTGGGTTCAAGTGCCAACCTGTTTGGTTAGCAGCCCAGTGTCTTAACCGTACCACCACCAGAGCTCCTCACAATAAAGGATTAAAATCAAGAACATATAGAATTCCTACAAGTTCATTTTGTAAAGAAGCACAAAGGACCTCATAGGAAAACTGGTCAGAACAGAAACATAGTCCATGGCAAACATACATGGCTAGTAAGCACATGAAGGCATGCTCAGTATCAGTGTTCCATACAGAGAAATCAAGATACCAAAGATTCCATTTTACACCCATTTAACCAACAAAAATAAAACTGCCTATCAACAGCAAGTATTGACAAGGATACCGCACTGGCAGTCCTACACACTGTTGGTGGTGGGAGTATAAACTAGCACAGCACTTCTGAAAACAGTTGAGCAACGCCCACTAAAACTGAGCACTTAATAACTTTATGACCCAGCAATGTCTCTAAATTTACACTCATGGAAACTCTTGCTTTGTGCTACAGGAGACACATACGCTTACAATGGCCAAAACCTGGAAACAACGGACTGCCTATCGGCTGAAGAGCAGATCGACAAAGTGTGTACTCACACCAATGGGTATTACTCACTGGTCAAAACAAATGACCACATGACATGATAACATGTAGATATGGATGAGTCTTAGCAATATGTATATGGATATGACAAAACTCCAGAGCATGAAGGGATGGTTACCCCAGGAGCAGGAAAATAAAAAGATCAAATGATTAGATGGATCCTCTGTTTCAAGCGGATCACTGGAGCTTACCACATTACTAAAAATACTGGCAGGCCTCGGGTTACAAATGAGATCTGTTCCTAACTGTGTCTTTAAGAATGTGTAGGTCAGTCGGAACAGGTGCCTACAGTTCTTATTTAGTGTTCCTGTAATGCAAGAAAAGGCCCATGGAAAAGGTGACTGTGATGAAGAATTTGCTGCCAGTACGGTTTGGTTCAATTGTTTCAAAGTGAGGCTAATTTACGTAACACTAAAGGAGAACTTCAAAACAGCTCTGCCCTGCTCAAAGCAGCTGTCCATGCTCTGAAGGTGGGTGTGTGGCTCACCAGGGTCTTGCCAATAATGCAGCCTCCAGCATTTGACTCCTGGAAGAGCTCCTTACACCTCTTCCGAGTCTCCCAATCCAGAGCTTCCACCGTAATTTTTCCCACTCCAGTCACCGAATCACCCATATGGTAAAAGGCAAGATCCATTCCTGTTTCATCTCACAGGACACCAGAGAACTGATCCGAAGCCCTGCAGTGAAGGGCCAGCAGGAGCTGTCCATAAGTTGGATGTTTGGAACGTGGGGACCGCCTTCAACGTATGAAATAAACTGGCAAATGTTGCATTATACATGCTTTTACAACAATTTTTTAAAAAGTGCTAAATAAATAAAAGCAAGCCAAGCATGGACACCGATGAATGTATAAATCCAGTTCTCAATGCCTAAAAGTAAAAATTCAAATTCAAATTCAAATTCAAATAAACACAAGAGACTGTTTAACTCCGAACACCAAGCACAAGCCCTGACACAATCTCAGCAAGTGTTTGTGGAATGACCTTCCTCTCAACCCAGGGGCCTTCCTGTTGCACTCTTAGGCACCTTTGACATGTGTGAAGCCAAACTCATCTTCCTTTTTAATTCTCCTTTTCCTCCTGGGTTCCTGGGATCTGCCCTGCCTCGTGCAGCTAGGAAAAACCTCTGGGATACAGGACCTTCCTCAACCTTCCTTCCTACAGCCCAGCAGCTACCAAAGCCTGTCCCCCCGACACACACACAGCTGTCCCCCTTGCCCTCGCCCCACCCCAGCCTCCACTGCTAGCTCCTGCCTGGGATCTTCATGCTTTTCACCTTGATAAGTACTTCGTCCCAAGCAGTTTCTCCAATTCCTGTCTCTCCTTCCAGGTCAGTGCCAAGACTGACCCTCTATCCCACACCTCCCTGGATGTCCAACGTAAAATTACAACTCCTTAGGTTGACATTCAAAGCCCATCACAATCTGGTCCCTCCCTCCCCCACCTACATTTGCCAGAGCACCTCCCTTCCCCAATCCCTTCTGTAGTGTTTAAGTGATAACTCTCCCCCACATATCTGCAGGGTTTCACCATTTCCATGTCTCTGTCTACCCACAATCACACATCTACTTAACTACTCAGCTTCAACTTACCTGTACTTTCAAGGCCCAATGTAAACAGCACTTTGATGTTGCACAACAGAAGGTAATCACCCCTTTAGAACTTGCACAGCACTCTGTCTGTTCTTTACAGCGTCTATGTCCATCTTCTCTCTTCAACTAGACTATGAGCAACCTAAGGATAAAACTTCATTTCTACTTCCCACTACCAGAAGCTGGCATAGTATAAGGAGAAAGTCATAAAATAGGTAAGAATGGTAATATGAATCATGATGCTCAATCCACCCCATGCCGCACTTTCCAGCCAGGATACTCTTCCAAAATGCCCCTCCCGGAGGATCAGTAAAGAGATCCTGGATAGAGCGGGAGAACAATGTGGAACAAAATGCAAAATCATACAAAAGACCAAGTTTACTGGTCTAATAGGGCCTGGGGAGACCCAAGACTATGGTCCCTAGTTACCCTTCGGGCCTGGAACTGAACTCACTCCTGTGGCTTCCAGCCAAACAACAGACAGGCATACAGGGTGAACATTTTTACATCAGGGAGATACACTCTTTAGAATGATCAATCATAAAACAACAGAAGGGCCCGTATTTGCACAGGGAGATAGCTCAGGGGGCAGGAATGCATAGGAAAGAAGGACACAGAGAAGAGGTAACTACAGGGAGGAAGTGGAAAGACAGCTGTTACACTGTGGGGAATTGCAGTCAATGTCATAAGACAAAATGTGTAAACTGTTGCATGGAAAATGAATTTGCTCTGTACACTTTCATCCAAATCACAGTAATTTTTTTTTTTTTTTTTCAATTAAATGCCCCTGATGGAAATCATCTACTAAAACCCTTCCACATCCCTGAGCAATGGCATGGCCTACAATCCACTCTTAGCCCCCCGCCCCCAACCCACCTCAGCTATCACCCCCTACAATAAGCCTTCCTGATCCTCTTGCCTGTCTCTTCCCTTCCTGGATGAATCTGAGGCCTCTGCCCTGCACTTCCCGGACCCTCACCAAGTATCACAGTGACAGCACTGTAATCACAGACTGTTGTCTGTCTGTCCACCCAACCCTGATTTCCCAGAGGGCAGAGATCTTGTCTCTCATCATTGTACTCCTGAGACTGAGAACATAGCTCATGAGAAAAAAGGCCCAGTAAACATTATGTGACAAAAGAAATACATTTTTCCAGTTCAAATAAAGACACCATGACTTGTGTCATTCATCCCATGAAGCATGTCTTAAAATGGAAACCATGTGGAAGAAAGTCTCTAAGACTGGTTTAACAGGCCAAGCAACTGGCAAGCAGCAACTTTATCTGAGATAACCAGCAATCAACAACCAACTCCCAGGGCTCACTTTCATCCTGGAGCCCTCCCAGGTCCACCCTCCCAACCCCTAATTTCTCCACTGAAAACCATTGAAAAGGCAGCAAACTGAAGTCACAGAGACTCTCTCACCTTTTCTTTCGGGAGAGCTGGCACAAACCGCCCTTTCTTGATGGAGATACCAGAGCGTTAGCAGGAATAACTTGTTTGAGTTCCCATCTTGATAGAAAACACAAACAAAAACCGGGCAAATCTGAAAGGCTTGCTGACTCCGCGACACTAATCCCCAGCACCTTTGCCAACAAGAAAGATCAAGTTTTAGATTGAGAAACAGCAGTCGGTGGAAACAAACACATGGATTTTGGTTCCTTGGGCTGCAGCTAGGGGAGGGCGCAAACCATCAGATTTATTTTCCCAACTCAGCCTGGGCAAAACCGAAGGTGGTGGGGAGGTCTCCCTCCACCCACTCAACAGTCAAGAGGACGCTTTAAAAACAAAACACTATTTTATACCTGAGCCCTTAGAAAAACCTACGAGGATTTCTTAAGACATAAAAGTTTGGCCAAGGACACACAGTAAATGCATAAGACGCTTAGTTATGCTGATGGCTCACGACCAGAAGTTCCACTTTTCCAGAACTCTACGGGGGCCGGGATGGGATGCAAAAGTATTCTTAAGGGTCCAAGCGTCAATGCATACCCTACAGCTGTTGGCACCTACGGAAGTGGGATCAGTGTGGAGGACGGCAGCTGACAGAGAAAGGGCTCAAAGAATAGGTCCAAAAAAGGACGAGTCTTTTAAATTCTCTTCCAACACACATTATGGGTCCCTCCAAAAGTGACCAGGAAACAGAGATTCCCGGAAGGAGAACGGAGTGAGGAGTAAACGCCTCCAAAGCACAGCCCCAAGTCTGTAGTTAAGTCTTCACCTGGAGGGAGACTCGCGCCCTAACTAGGGAGCCCCGTGGCAATACCACCACCACGACCTCCTCCAGGAGGAAGGGGTACACGCCTCCCGACGGACTCAAACTTCTAGGGTCTGTGCCCCTCCCCCCGCGAGCCTTTCAGCTTCTAACTAGGCGGTCACCCTCCCACCCAGCACCCAGTCCGGTCCGAAGCCCCTAGCGACCCCAATTTCCCCAACTTCCGCCTCCGGGACCACCAGCACGGAGGACCGTTCTCCCATTCCCCTCGGCCCTCACCCTCAGGACTCCCGACCCCCCGGCCCAGCCCTCACACACTCCCACGCTCGCCCCCTTCCGGTCCCAGCTCGGCTCGGTTTCCCGCCGCCCCCAGGACCCCAGCCCAGGCGACGAGCAGGCGACGTGCCCGCCCCTCTCACCAAAGCTGAGGCGGGAGAGGGGGCAGGCTGAGGGGACGGCTGCGCTCGGGCTAAGGCTCCGACTCGGCCTGGGTAGGGTTCCGGCTGGGACTCCGACTCCAAAGAGAAGGCAGCCCGAGTCAAACTCGGCGTTGCAGCTTCCGAATGCTCTGCGGCGCATGCCCAGGATACGCGGTCTTCTGGGAAATGTAGTTCCGGCGGGACAGCTGGGTCGGAGCTGAACCCAGTTCGCACCTGTGCGGTTGTTAATCGTTCCCTTTGCCTATTTGGTCTTGATTTACTCCTTCATTAACTCACTGACTCATTCCAAAGAGTTTGTTTTTTTTTTTTTACCAGTAATGGTACAAGGCCCTTTGCTGGATATTAGAAATTAAATGAATCAGAAACTTCTGGAAGAACTTCCTATCTAGATGGGGTGATAGACACTTAAACACACAATTGCAATATAATGTAATAAATGCTGTGATAAAGGAGTGGAAGCACAGAAAGGGGTGTGGCCTAACTTTCAGTGGGGGTTGGAAGTCAGGAAGATTACACAAAAGAGAGGACACCTGATGTGAATTTTGAAGTCCATGCAGGGATGTGTCAAATGGAGCACAGGAAGCTATACAGAGGAAGAGAGATGTGAAAGTTCCTGACACGTTCAGGAAGCAGTGAAAAGTTCCAAAGTTCCGAGTGGCCTTAGCAGATTGCACCCAAGGCAATCTCTAAATTGTGTCCCCTCCCCAATTCGAGCGCCCAAGGTCAGTCTCTAAGTT